AATCATACATGAAAATACTGAAAGACGGTAAAAGGAGAGCGAAAAAGGCCTACAAACTGAACCTACATTTGGTGGGGTTGCCGGGCTCCCTCGAGTACTTCACCATTGCCGGCGGCGTGGATAGAAGATAGAGCTCGGTGTTTTCTGCTTCCAAGAAGGAGGAGCTCACACACAGCTGAGTATGAAATGTTTGGATTTTATAATCGACGGTATTAAACCCTAGCGAGATCTATGTGGTTGTAATGGGCCAGCAGTTTTATTAGGCTCAAGCCCAATTGTAATTGCAAAAATCCCTTGCGTAAAATATTTAATTGGAGAAAATTATTATTTTGACTAATCCAAGTTTTTTGTGGGATTCATTGTAAAACAATCACGACGAAATAAATGAGGTCCGAGTTAAATTAACAATTTTTAATGCATTTATCTTGTGATTTAGTTGAATTCCATTCCTTTTTAGTCGTCTTTTACAGCATATAAAGAGAAAAAATTGCACCATATTTGAACTCAGAACTTAATTTCCTAGCAAGATAGAAAGGATGTCTAGCAACGTAGCCAGATATGAGGGACCTTACAAAAAGTGCTAATAGCATGAAAAGAATTAAATATAGTCCCGGTGTTTGGCTAGATTAATATTATTATGTAATAGGGACGATTTTGCTATGAAGCCAACAGTTGACTCCACAGTGGAGTCAGCCTTCTATATACAACAAGTAAACCTATCATATTCGTTGATTACTTAAATAATACTAATATAATTTTATTAATATGGTAGGTTTATTTGTTGTATATAGAAAGTTGGCCCCACTATTGAACCAACTGTTAGCTTCATAGCAAAACCGGGAAGTGCAGTATTTGTAGTTAACATATGTTTGGCTAGGAAAGTATGATGTGAAAGTGAAATGTAGTACTTGTAGTCGAGGAGTTTAACAATAACTATGAAAAAGTTAAAGAGGGAAGTATATCTTTTTAAAGGCTGTGAAATAAATTCAAAAGGAAACATAAAGATTTACGAAAATATAATAGCTCCTTTTTATAAAGTACATCCATGCACCCAACTGAACTTTACTCATCTGGTTGTGGTAAAGAACATGACTACCATATATATATATGAAAGCTGAGTGCTCTTGAAAAGAATTTGCATCTCAAGGAGCAATGCATTGTTTATAAGTTCAATAACAAGCACGGTACCATATCTAATACCAAATATACCAGCATGAAAAGAAAGATGCATTCCGTAAATTGAATAATCCTCCAAAATCAAATTACGCGAATAACAGAACTTGGATTCAAAATAAAACAACAAGACAGTATCTCAAAACTCAGATCAACAACTATTACAATTATCACGATGCGAAAACAAGCCAACAACTCAAGTTTTTCTAAGTTTGCTTGCTGTCAGCTGTGACTCAGGCTGCAAAATAAAGCAAGAAAAAAACAGATATTTATACGTATATTAAGGAAATTATTCTAACTGAAACTACAACCATAAACCGTCATATATACCTCCTTCTTGACAGGCTCTTCCCTTTCAGATAGAATCAACTCAATGTGACAGGGAGAGGACATGTAAGCTGACGGGAAATTCTTCATGTTAGTTTAAATTTTTCAGTTGAAAAAGTAATGTAGCACAAATATATCATTTTACGGTAAACTGATTCAAAACTTCAAGTTGACCAACAACTAGGGGGAAAAAAAAGAACATTCAACATACGGTTAATTCGCCCATGAGCATGGTATGTGCACGCCTTTGCTTCTGGGCCTGGTTAACCTGAATGTGGGAAATAAAGAGGGCATCCACATCCAATCCTTTCACCTGCCAAAAAATTAAACAGTATATTCACAAAGAATCATATATAATATACATCAATAATGACAAAAGGAAATGAAGGAAAGAAAACAACAATGGGTGTACCTCGGCATTGCTTTTAGCGTTCTTTAGTAAATCCAAGATAAACTTGGCCGATTTCACAGGCCAACGACCCTGCCCATTAGAGTGCCTGTTCTTTGCCTGAGCAGTTCTTCCAACACCTCCACAGAAACGGGTGAAGGGGATTGCTTGCTTGTGGGCAAGCACATCCTCCAAGTATCTCTTGGCCTTGACAAGAGGCAACTTTCGGAGGGCATGTGCAGTCTCTCTGGTGTTCTGCAAAGATTTCCAAAGCAGGCACATGTGCATAAAGTCTTCTTGGTATTAAAAGGAAAAATTGAACACCGCTAAATGAGAAAATCATTCAAGAGTATTTTCTAACTAGTCCACATGGGCACAACTAAAAATCAAGAATGTTCTCATCAAATCAATGGAATAAAATAAGCACAAATGATCAACTGACAGAACCAAATTTCAATCATAGTTCACGTGAACATGCAAAACTTATAGAGTGAAAGGAACATGGCAAGAGTATTTATAAACCTATGTAGTTTAGCTAAGCTAAAGATTGTGAAAGATGGGCAGTTGTTGCAAAAGCTATGGTCTATTGACATCAAACTTAATAAGAAATAAATAAAGGTTTTTATGAATCTACACAATGCAGAACAATGACCGCCAGCACACATGTTCCGAAAGTAACTAGTTCGGTCCTTCATAAGCTCAAGATGATAACTATCATGTATAACAAAAAACTAGTCCCAAAATCTAACATAATAAAATGATTGCAAAAAAGTAAGCAGCATTTTCTCAATGACTCTCATTCAGCTTCTAAACATCCAAAAGGTAGAATACAGTATTAGCAACTGGAAGCTACAACCATATAGCATTGTTTACTGAACCTTCAATCACAACAACACTCAAGAGGTTCACCCAATAACATTGCCCATTTTATGTCTCTGATGTGTACGAGAGATCAATTCACAAAAGGCAATAGACCCCTGCTTTTTTCACCAGGTTTAACTTCTACATGATCCACCCCCATTAAACCAATATGCACAAACAATCTTCACACACATACAACGTAATAAACGAATCCAAAAATATTCAGAAGAAGACGACGAAAAGGAGTAACCATTACCTTGAAATGAACCCTGAGATCGGATCCCCTAGCCTTGCAGGCTGAAATAAGCATACACCAAACCAAATCAGCAAATATAACTAAAAAGTCATACATGAAAATGCTTAAAACATGGACAAAAAGTGTGAAGAAAGCCGAAAAACTAAACCTACATTTGGTGGGGTTATCGGGCTCCCTCGAGTACTTCACCTGTTAAGAATTCGATGAAGAAACTGAGATTACACAAAAGCTAAAAAGGACGGCCAAAGGCGAAATGCATGACTGAGAGAGATACCATAGCTGCTTTTTTCCGGCGGCGCCTGAGCTCTGGTTTGCTTCTTCTAAGCAAGAGCGGACTTTGAAATGTTTTGGATTTTATAATTTTCACAGTATTAAGCCCTAGCTACTTGCTGGGTTGAAATGGGTCGGCTATATTTTTTGCCCAGTTTTATTCAATTAAAGGAAGCCCATTTGTAAATACTAAAATGCAGAGTGTGAAGATTTTTAATTTGCTAACTTATGGTGGTGCAGTTGCCAGTTGGAAATAAATTTATTTGAGTGCACTTTGTTATTAATCAATAATATTTATCAAAAAATAATGATTTTTTTTTAACGAAACGATAGATTGAATAACTAGAAAATATACAATGTTCGGTAGCTAAATAGCCAAGATAGAGAGGATCACCAACATGGTGTCCTAAATAATACAGCATATAGAGCAACAGAAACTAAGCTACAGAGCATTGCTCTACACAACTAACTAATAATAAACACAAAGAAGAGCTCCTTTCCAAAGAACAACCTCCCAACCAAGCAATCAAACACTGAGAGTCAACCTTACACCATCAGAAGTCAGAATACCATGAGTGAAGCAAGTCATCAATTAATTCACCAATGCTATCAAAAGAGCCAAGTCCAGAGTATGATGGTGCATGAGCTTATGGATCCTACTGGCAGTGATGGGATCCAAGGATCATCGCAAACTTTGGTTGATTTTCCATTTTTTTATTTCAAACCTGATTCCTCCTTGCATAGTGTCCTTGACACTGATCCAACTATTCCATAGCCATGAGTCACTCTGAGTTTTCTTTGCTTTCAGAATTGAATTATCAGGAAAGTATTTGACCTTCAATATTCTGTTGACCAACAAGTTTGGTCTTGTGAAGATTTTCCAAATTTGCTTGGCTATGAGGGCTTGGTTGAGAAGATATAGATCTTTAAAGTTCAACCCTCCTACTTCTTTTGGAAGTGACATCCATTTCCAAGCTTTCCAGTATATGCCTTTCTTGTTTGGATCAGCAGATTTCCACTAGAAAGTAGCAAAGATCTGAGAAAGATTCTTACAAACAACTTTTGATAAAATAAAGCAGGACATCACATATATTGGAAATGCACTTAAGACAGATTCAAGCAAAACTTCTTTTCCTGCTTGAGATAAAAAGCAATTTTTCCAGTTCTGAACTTTTTTCCTAACAGCATCAGTAACAAATGAGAATGTATCAATCTTAGAGCTGCCTATCCCCATAGACAACCTTAGATATTTAGATGAAGAATGATGAGCAATTCCCAAAAAATAATGATTTCGATATAGGTGTTTTTATTTTTAAATGTTCCCCTTAAACTTCCGTTATTCAGTAATTTCTGGGAGCTATGAATTTCATAAAGTTGTGAATAAGAAAATTCGATGTACCGAGTCTTGTACATTGACATCACTCTTTTTAAAATATATATATATATATATATATATATCACTTATTTGAAGAGAAATTATGCCTTTTTTTATTTTTTTACCCAAATCTTTTTGATGTTTGTATGCAGTAACTTCGACCGCTTTTTAGTTTATCATTGCGCACCAAAAATTTAGATTTGAAATACCGGTATTTTTGTCTTTGTATGTGTTTTTATCAGTCGGGTTAGTTTCGTTGTATCCAATTTTCTGGAAGTAATTAGTTTTGAGCAACGAGTTTATCCTTTTATCGTCACAAGTTAAAGCTATAAATCAATAATTATTGTCCATTTCATTGCCGAACCACAAGACCCGCACTAGGCAAAATTTTCACCAAGAAACTTATACCTTCACTCCTTTAGCACCCTTACAATGAGGGAAATGAAATGAAACTACCTCAAAACTAAATGATATTATAAGACGACATGAAACTCGTGTAGGCAGTAACATCCATCCAACTTGGGAAAAGGCCTTTCAATTTATTCACCGGCTCAGTCAAATATAAGTCAACTACAGCAATATCGACTCTCAGAGATCCCGACCCAGCCACCTGTGGTATGTATTATTTAATCAACAAAAGCGCCATTAACAAAACAAAATCGCAACTATCAAAATTCAAAACGAGTAACATGGTTGCACTCCTCAGTCGTCCTAGCAGAGGTAGCTACGTGCAAATGAGAAATGACGAAAGAGGTGTTTCATGTTTTGACAGTTTACCTCCAACCAGAAAGTCCAGTTCTCATGGGCTGCGCCGCTCAACCTGCATATGTATGATGGTGGCCCGTTGCTAACTTTGACGGGTGCTGTTATTATTTTTTTTTAACCGAAATTTAGAATGTGGCGAAGGAAAATTTTACGTCAGGAAATGGGCAGGAGGTATTAAAATTAGAATCACCTGGGACAATATTATTCGCGAACGACCAATTTGATAATGGACCAGTAATGTTGAGGACTGCAACCCACACCTCCTTCAAAGAACTGGAGAGACCAAGATACGGGGAACTTGTGAAGCCCGAATAAATTTAAGCACAATTCACAAATAGTTTTGGTGCAAATTTTATTATATCTGGTCTGAAAACCAAAAATGACTATTTCATCTTATAGTTTATTACAAGATTATCACAAAATTGTTCTCTTTATGATTTAAGAAAGCTTACCCTAAGGAAAATTCTATGTTGAATCTCCGAGGTCCTCCGGCAGGAATGACTTTGGGTTTATCAATAGATAAATGTGGGAAATGTTTATATTGCTCCAAGATATCCTCGGTGTTCTTGGGGAACTTTAAACTTCTCGAGAATAGAGAAGATATTGGAAAAATTCCCTGTGAAAGCACAACTGGCTGAAGTCATTTTATCCACTTCCATGATAAGCATGCATTCTGATAGTGCTTAGCAAAAGATGTGAGACTGCCTGACTAGAAACTTGGCCGCATGTTTTGTTCAGATCACACAAAACTATAGGCAAATATTTATTATTTTTATTGTAAAACAATGTTTGCACGAGGTAACTAATTTCATTTATAGTTTTAACTAATTAACCCACTCTTAGACTTTCTACTAGAATTCCTTATGTTCTACTCATGGAATAATACAACCTCAATTCATCAGACAAAGGGTTTATTTAAGAATGTACCTTCCACGTTTCAAAATCAGACTGATGAACGGTGTCGAAACTTAATTCCCGATTACCATGCAGCTCTTTTGCAGCTTCCGGCGCATGTTTGAAAACAAACATCAGGGAGTTGGAGTCAACTACGGCAAAATCAAAGCTGGCATCCGAAATTTGGTTTGGACCTGTCAAATGGAACTAAAAGCTAGTCAAGAATAAAAATTTCAAATTGGGAAATGTTGACTATAAAAGTAAAGAACATGCGCTGCTATTTCTTCACATTGTGAAGACTTTGAAAACAATAAGCCAGCTATTCTTAAACCCCAACGGCTGAACTTATTTTCCACCAGCAACATACAAATATAAAATACATCAGAACAGAATCAAGGCGTCAATTAAATTATCTCGACTTCGCACCGCATTAGTTGGATTTTGAGATGATGAAGACAGCAGTAATAGGCCATACAGAACACATACACAGAGGGAAACTCTCATGCTACAGGTTAAAACATTAGGGACCAACTCTTGCCAGCAAGTAAATCAGTGAGTGATGCTTAGAAATTTAAAAATTAATATGAGCTTATCCATCCATAAGTACCTGAGGTCTGAACTGTGTGCTGGAGAATGACTCTCTTAGGTGCATCTTTGCTGTACGGAAAATATTGTGATGATACAGCCAAAGAAAGTACAGTGCCATGCAGTAAAAGTCGTACAATTGATGATTTTGTCAACCATTTTCCAACCACAGGTATTAGAGGACCAACACACCAGCCTGTTACTAATCCAATGACGGCTCCAACTATTACATCAGGGACAAAATAACCTACAAATAAACTTATAAGTTATATGTAATTAGGGTAAAAGAAGATCCATTTTCCTGCATGGACTAGGTTTTTGGCTTAAAATCAATAAATGAGTTAAAATGCGTTTCAAGGGATTCCTAAAACCAGTATGATCATTTCAAGAAAAGTGCAAATTAGTTCTTCCCAAAGAAAACTCTCACTGGATTTTAGTGAGATCAGATGTTGCATAGTTGGACTAGAAAGCATATGATGACACCTCTTCAAGGCAAATGCAAATTAGTGCTACCCAAAGAAATCTGAATGTTAGTGAAATAAGATTTTGCATAGTTGGATTAGAAAGCACACAGTACAAGTAAGAATCTCTTGCACATGAACTGACCAGTACATAAGAAACAACAAAAATTCATCTGGGCCTTTTTTTCGTATCAAAGTTGGATATAATTCTGTCAAAGGCATAAAACCTTGGGTCTAGTCTGTCATTTTATCACGTCTTGCAAACAGTACCATAAGCACAATGAGGAGATATGGCTAGAACTAGATTGAAGATACAAAATCCCACTCTTTCCTGCCATCTTTAAAGTTAAACAGGAATCGCGATAGAACTATATGGGACTCCAGATAGCCAATAATTGAATGTTGTACATCCAGCAATAGTACGTCTCCCAGTCTTTCATTCATAGTGATATAATTATAAAAAGATACATAACTAACCATAAGGAGGCGGAAGAGAGCCTGTCATGCCCATTTTCTCGATTAAGAACGCGGCAAAAAATCCACCAAAGTATATGGAGTACATCAAGCAAGGTACTAAAGGGATCACATAGCATGCTGTTGACCTGACAAAAACATTTTATGATGTTACACCGCCAACATATTATATGTTGGAAGGTCTGAATACACCTGAATAAGATATAGTGCAAAAGTAACTAGACTACGGACTACCTATAACAGTAGGGAAATGGAACATCGTGCATGAGAAGACAGTAAGTTCTAAAAGATTATCAATTATTTAAACTGTTACCTGAGAGATTGGTGACCGAAGAACTTGGTTGACAGACGAAAAAAGATCCATGCAGGAAGCATAAAAGCTGAAACAAGGAATGCCACAAAGCCTCCACTCAACCCAGATAAAAGATACGCCTGCTTTCAGAAGTTCTTTCAGCAAATTAAGTCTTTGAAATCTAATGTATTAGGAGAAGAAACTATCAGAGAATCACCCACACATAAAGTCATATTAAATTGATTTAGATAAGAAATAATTTCACACACCAAAGTCAGGAGGGCGTAGAACCCAAATGCTCCCCAGAACCTTGCTTCATCAACCACTTCCTGCAAAAACATCATATTGTCACTATTCAAACCAAATCTATACTTATATAAAAAGCTATCATATTTACTAAAATTAGTAGCAAAAAAAATAGGTCAGCATTTAATGCAAACCATAAATAGTAATTTTATCATTTTTCTTATTTTTTTATTTAAAAATCATACAATTTAATTTATAAATACGCTTTAATATAATCATACAATTCAATCATACAATTTAACTTATAAAAATTATACAATTTATTTTTTTTCTTTAATACGCTTTAATATATATATATATATATATATATATATATATATATATATGTGTGTGGTACTTTTTGTAATAAATTTGAATAAAATGTGTTACTTAATATCTAAACAATTTAAAAATTCAAATGTTTAAAATAATTGATAAACAATTTATAAATCTCTATTTTATTTAATTTTATTTAAAATAATTTTAAATATAGCAAAATTTATTTAGAAAAACGTATCGATCCTACCAGTGGTGTTGACGGATTCAATAGTAAATATTTTATTCAAGTGAACTAGACTGATTATAAACTGGTTCTCGGTACATTCGGTCGAATTGTGTCCAACACGGTTTAATTTTAAAACGATGGGTAAATCTTGATTAATTTATTTGTATATTTAATTTATAGCACAATCGTAATATTGTTTTTCCGTGCATCGCACGGGCTGAAGAATTTGACCATAATCCCCCTTATATATAATTATCGAGTGTGCTGAGATTAAGTGGCGGCTCACATGCTTTGGGTCCTATATGACAAATTTTGATTCTTTGTGATTTGGTTTTGTGATTTGGTTTAGATGGATTTTACTCTACTCTCAATCAAAAAATAATTAGGTTTGGAATAGCCATAAATATCTATATTTATGGTCATGTTTAAAAGCATTTCCTATTCTAGACGTCATTTATAAGGCATAATTTTTTCCTCAATCTTTCTTTTTCTTCGTCTTTTTCTTAAAATTATGAAAATATTACTAACTTAAGTTATAAGTAAAATTAAAAGTGAATACTGATATCTTGGCCGCATTCTGGGTAACTCCTCAACCTGGAGTTCTGCCCGAAGAAGCGGGGGTTCCAGTAGCTGCCGAATCTTCTACAGGTACATGGACAACTGATATACTATATGTAAAAATTGATAATAAATAAAATAATTAATCATGAGCTTCGATTTGGCACCTATATCGTACATACAAATAAACAAATAATTATATTTATCTTTATAATGAAAATTAAATTACCTATTAATATTAATTAAAATAATAAAATTATTATTAAATGATATAGCCTTTTTCTTAAAAAAAAATATAATATAAGAAGATGAGTGTTATTTCAAATATAAATAGTAAAATAGTTATTCAAAAGAGTATTGCAAAATTAAAATAACTCTTTTATTATTATTTTTTAACTTTTAATATAAATTTTTTAACAAACATCCGTGTAATACACGGGTATTGTACTAGTAATATAGTACTCTCCATTATAAACATGAATTGCATCCAGTGGTTGAGCACCACTATCTATTATACATGTGTTGAACTGCCTTTGGATACTCATCAAATTTGGCACTCCATTTGTGAGTTAAATAATAAGAAATAGAAGTCTTTCCAAACAGTAGGAAGAAAGCAGGAAAAACAACACAAGTGAACACAAGTGGTCTTGTAATTGTAAGAAACTGGGGAAAAACACAAAGTGGTCTTGTAATTGTAAGAAACTAAGGGAAAACGGGTGCGGTCCCACTAACATGAAGCGCACTATGAGAGGGAAAAACCCATATGAAGCCCAAGTGGGGTTCCATCCCAAAACCAATTGGTGGAAGGAGGAGTAGCCCATTAGACTTATAAGGTGGGTCCCCAAGCCTACTAGAAGTAGACTCTCATAAACGGGTACGTGGGGAAGCAGACTCCCATAAACGGGTACGTCATCGCACGGTCCCAATAGAATCGGCTCTGATACCATGTAAGAAATTGAGGGAAAACAGGTGCGGTCCCACTAACATGAAACGCACCATGAGAGGGAAAAGCCATATGAAGCCCAAGTGGGGTTCCATCCCAAAACCAATTGGTGGAAGGAGGAGTAGCCCATTAGACTTATAAAGTGGGTCTATTTTCCATGTATGAACGATGAGAGACATCTTCTAACAGCAATAAATCTATCAACATATCTAACAAGTACAACGGCATCAAGATCAGATAAGATCCATACAGAAGCACAAACCTCCCTTGATAATATGTTGGCTGAAACATCTTGAGAGAGAGAAAATTGTCTCCATAAAAATCTTGGAACCAACAGACCAACAACTGAGCATGGCACAAACATTAGGAAGGCCAAAAATGGATTAGCAAACCTACATTGAACAAAAGAAGTCGAGGTTAAAGAACCAGATCTTATCACAACAGCAATCAAGGATAACTATACGAGAAAGAAAGCAACAAAGACTTTCTTAGTTGAAACTCTACGAACAAACATTTGTTGCATAAATGGAAGAGCCCAAATGAAAATAGATCAACTGTCAAAGCGAAAAGTATTAAGTAAGCAATATTTTCAGAAGCTAAAAGTCATACCAGTTCATTGATTTTCCTGTGAACAGCAACCTCAAGATAGCAAAAGTTACAGGAATAACAATGGCGAGAATTATGCCACTAGCATGATACAACAATCCTGTACAATAGCAAGTACAAACTTCATTTAGAAAGCATACAAATTTAAAAGGAACACATAAAAAATGCAAATAAAATTTCGACAATTATTAGTTACCTTTAAGAAAGTCGTGGTAAGAACTGATGATAGAGAATAGACTACCAGTTCTCAAACACAACAAAAGTGGCATAAGGCCAAAGATAGCCAATGGAACACAGTGGAACACCATTGCTTGCTTTCTTGAGTAAAAGACCTGAACAACAGTTACAAAGATGCCATTAGCATATGGATCGGTAGCTACTAAATCTTAAAACCAAGATGGTGCGTACCAACAACTTCGCGAAGTAATCAAAGAAAACTGGTCTTTCTCCTCTGGATCCATTGGAAGCAGCTCCAAAGATTTCTCGTTCTCGAGCAGTTAATAACTTAGTAGAATTAGCAAAGGCTTTCATTAAACTAAATAGATTATCCCCGCGTGCTTGCATGCTTCCTGGTCTGATTGATTAATATGCCATATACGTAAAAAATATAAGTAAATATGGTCTTGGTAAAATAGAATCAGTAAATATACCAAAATACCATAGATGCGTACAATAGTCTTTCTACAGTATCAAATGAGGTGTGGTAATAATAACCACCAAGCAGAAAGATAATATCCAAGCCAGGAATGTCACCGAAATCATTGGCGAACATTCTGTAATCTGTATCACCAGGAATTGCCCCAAAGACATCCTGAAAGTGGAGCAGCAAAAATAAATTAATTGCCACTTCAAATAAATATATATCTATGTAATGGACCAATTTATATTACCATAATTGATATGGTTTGGGGCGGGATAAAGATTTCTTCTATATTTAGCACATAATTAAATTTATTTCTTAGCACAATTTATAAATAAAAAGTTAATTAATTTTTATTTAATCAATGGTTAATATATTATTTTCATAAAATCTTACTATTAATTGCATAGTAATTTGTTGACCCAATTAAATGAATGTATTAATTATAATTAGGATAATCAATTTACTTAATTATATTACTATTTAATGGTTGTAATTATTAATTTCTTTAATTATGGTCACCAATCAGGAATACTTAAAATATAAAAACAATAATTAATATTACACTCCTACTATTATAAATAATTAATATTCCACTCCTATTATTTTAGTTAAATAAATGCTTTTAAATATTAATAAAATATTACAGTCAACTGTATAATATATTATTAAACATAAACACCTTATTTTCATTGATTATGCCATTGGTATTGGTAATGATAATGATGAACTAAAATAATATATTAATATAATTATTATTTTGATATAAAAAATATCCAAATTGTAAAAAAATATAATTCTAAGTATTTATTTTTAAAGAAAAGAAGTAAACAAAAAATATATAATCAAGTACCATAACTGAAAATTATGAAATTTGGAAATCATTGAATAATATGATTCAAATATTTAAATTTTATATCAACTAACTCATTACATATGTAAAAAAACAAATTAAAGAATAAAAACTAAAATTAAAAATAATTATTTTACCATAAAAATATGTGTTAAATAAGTGAATAAATTTAATAAAACCCAAAGTTTAATTATCAAATAGATAACATTTCAAGATAAAGGAAGATAAATTTGGTGGGTTAAACTCTGATCAATATGCGGACTGTGGATTGCCAAAAGAACATAAGATAGATAATATTAGGCATTTATAATATTTTATAAACTTCTAAATAATAAAATTCAATATTAAATAGTCAAGTATAAATCTCCAAAAAATAATTTTTTTTAAAAAAAAAAAGAAAGAGAAAATGATAAAAAAACAGTGAACCCAATTTTATATTATTACCGAGTTGATATGTTGGGTAGAAAAAACCCGACATATCATCTTAAATATTTTAATAATAGTTGAATAAATAAAAAATATTCGTATAATGTATTACGCACGGGTATTAATGTTAGTGCGTGAAAGTTTTGACTGATACTTAAAGAGAAAAGAGAAATTTTTTTGACTGATACTTAATTTACAAATATGCTTATTAACTAACATATATATAGACCATTTCATAAACACTAACGATTCTAATATAAATGGTGAACAGTGTAAAACCTGAGCTGCACTATTTGCCATAGGATATATGGCTGACTGAGAATAAATATATGAAGGCCAAGGTCCAGGTCCAGATTGGCACACCAAATCTGCTTATTTGGAAAAATATTACAATTAATAAAAATAGATTCTTTAGCAAGTGAAGTATATATGCCATAGCAACGAAACAAGAGATTGCGGACTTAACCAAATCCTCCTGTCCCAGATGCCTCGACATTAATAAAAGCACCAACCGTATCACGCCATCTATGTGTCGTTATGAAACCATGTGAACCCTAAAACATCACAAGAAAAGTATCTCTGAGTTCTGATTAAGAAATGTACTCCCAATACATATCCTGGCACTCTATTTTTCTCATACTTGTTTCCGCTGGTTAAAGATAGAAGATCATATCTCCTGAAGATCGTATTGCTAAAAACATATAATTGCAAACAAAAATTTCTAACAAAGGATAATAATAGTTAAAATAATATGATAGCTCACTATTCTTACAACATAATTCCCACACCATTAATTCTAAGTGCACAAGGTAAACTATGGAAGATAGTTACCAGCATAAACAATTCTTCAGCTCCATTAAATAAGAATATTATTGGCCGAGGAGGAATCCAACCAGAATCAATAGTGAGCCTCGCTAATTCAAGCAACGATGCTGCAAATAAAGTAACAAGAAGATTTAAGTCAAACATAGTTCACATATTTCTATACTGAATAACTCTGCATTAGAACCCACCAACGCATGAGCCACAATCACCAGCTCCTGGTGAACCAGCAGGGGTATCAAAATGTCCATTTAACAACACTGATGGGTCACTGTCTTGTGAATCAACTGACGAAATCCTGCAAGTTGATCCCAGTGATGGTAGTCATTTACTAAAACCTTTCTTCTGTACATAGCAAACGGAAAAAAATAAAAAATAAAAAAATAAAAAAGCAAAAAAAGAACAAAGAGTGTCCTGCATTTAAAAGATTAGGCAGCACCGCACTCAGCCTCCATGAGGCCCAACTTTATATATGTATTATCCAACAAATGGAAGCTAAAATAAAACGCATAGTTAAGCCCCCTCCCCCCTGCTGATTTATTTTATTCTCTTCAATTGAAAAATAAATTAAAAAAATACATAAATATAAATGTATATCAGTTAAGGATTTTTAGATTTTCCATCCCTTGCACCGAACAGCTGGCTAACCCCTGGCACAGATTAAATACAAAGGAGCTATGGGAAGATCATGAAAGAAAAGTGACAAGATCATATAGGATATAGATAAAAGCAGACCAAAGAAACCTATCATGGCCTAGTCATTGATGGAATCATAGTTTCTATTGACCAACTGCAACACATGATTAACAATGTTCACTTTGTTATATAAGCCACCGAACACAAACATGCAGGACAATAGAGAGTTGAATTGTATCACCCAGGGGAAGTCAACTCAACATTGTCTTCTGTTAATAAACTGACCGTGATTCAGAAAAATTCAACTTTGAACCACTACAAACAACATAGATAAAATAAACAAATATATTAAGTAGATTACCTCATAAGAATATTTGTGTGATTCCTATAAGTTAGAGAGATGCTCTTTCCTAAAAAGATCATATTGAAGGAGCCATTAACAACAGTTTCTTCTATCTCTACCCTGCAATAGAAAGTCCAGAACTCGAAAGTTAACTCCATACACCTATAGCCATGAAATAGTTTTCTAGAATATAACTGGAAACCAAACCAACCTAAAATTCGATCCAGCTCTTTCTTTAATCTGTTCTAAATGTGTTTTAATGTATACTGCTGCCTGTCTCAGACCTGGACTCCCCTCCTACACGTGATCGAGTAGCAACAAAATCAGATGGCTGGATGGACTACTCATTAATACCATACAATTATACACACAAATATTCACTTAGTTAGCTTCCCTTTCCACGCGCACCATCAATATAAACCGAATACTAAACATACATCTAAGAGAAAAAATGCATTAAAATTCAACCAACAGCAAGTCAATAAACAAAAGATAGCATATAAACACAGGTCACAGACACACATTTTATAACCAATCAACTGGGTCCTCTAAACATTTCATGTCAACATCCACAAGCAAAATCAACCGACATTTGAGGCTCCCACATTCCTACTCAATCATATCTCATCAAATCAGTTTTAACAGTGTCTTTCAAGCAGTCAAGGGAGACCCCAAAAGCAGCACCACATGCATACAAACCACACAACGACTATGGGAGCATCGTCAATTACATACAGAACAGGGCATGAAACGACGTCGTAGCTAACCTGACGACCACCGATTTCCTCCGCCAGCACGCGCACGTGCTGGATCGCTCTGGCTTCTGAGAAGCGATCCAGCGGCGCGTCCGCACCGAGGGGCGTGACGAACTTCATGTGGATGACGGAGTGAACGAGGTATGATATCAGCCCGTACAGAACGAGCAGCGCGAAAAAAACTTTGAATCCGGCGACGTCGCCGGGGCTCAGCCTCAGAAGCGCCATTTTTTCTCCGGCGACTGATATTGTTATTGTTTGTTATTATTTTTTATTATTTTCTTTAGCTATTGTTATTCAGTAAAATTAGTGCAAAAACAAAGTTCGTTTTCTGTGTAGGTGGGGAAAGCTATTGTCGACTTGGAAGCAAGGTCGGTCTGCTTACTTAAAATAGGTGTGGAGTGTTTATGGGCTGGGCTTTTCATGGGCTTATGGCCCATCAAGTCATCATCAACTTAAAACAAAAGAGATGAGGGAGCTCTATAATTTCTATCACTTTTTGTTGTGAAACAAATGAATTTGTTGCATTGTAGCATATATGTGGGTGTAATTGGAAAATTTTCACTTAAATACATCAAAAAATAACTGTATTATTCACACCAATTCATCTTTACACTATTTTATTAGCACCTTGTAATATAATTTTCAAATTATCCAAACCATTTTGGTGCTCAATTGAAATTGGTTGGTGAACTCGGGAACACACAGACAAATGGATTACACGTTGTTCTCGATTTTCTTCTCAGCTAACGAGCTGCGCTCAAACCAATCTACATGATCGGTGAACTCGGGAAGATTTCGAAAAGAAAAAAAAAATGGATGAAAATGTAGTTGAGGCTCAAAAGCATGACTTAGAGTTCAATTACCCTCCACAAGAAGCATGATTGTATAGATAGGTAATAATTTAGGGCTGCAAACGAACTGAGCGGCTCGCGAGCCACTCGCGAGCACTCGAGTCAAAGCTCGACTCGAGCTTGAGTTTGACCGAAGTCGAGTCGAGCTCGAGCGGCTCGAACACGAACTCGAGTCGAGCTCGAACCTATATTTTGCCTTGTCGAGCGGCTCGAGAATACCCCTTATATATATGTTAGCATAAGTCGTTAATGGTAATTTTACCTTTCCACTTAAAAATTTTTGAGCCGAAGTTAAGCCAAGCTCGAGCATTTTGATTTCGAGTCGATCTCGAGCTATTGTAATTTTTTATCGAGTCGAGTTCGAGCCTAAAAAATCGAGCTCGACGAGCTAAAAAAAAGGTCAATCCTGCTCGAGAAGCCCAATGCTCGGCTCGGCTCGACTTGTTTGCAGCCCTAGTAACATCATATAAGATAGAGAAATGATGTTCCATAGTAGAAGTATTTATTTTCACAAATTTAGTGTGATCGACACTCGGTAACACGATCAATATGTCTGTTAGTTAGGTAAGGCATATCTGTTGCATTTGTAATTTAGTTCAGTTGCATATTATTGTCCTATTATTGAAGAAAAAAATATGCAAATTGTGTTGCTAGATAATTTATATTCTTCGTGGTCGCACGACATTTTATATCATGGACAAATTCTCATCAAAATGGGACGTAAGTATGCATAAGATTAAATAAAATATGGAATTAACATTAAAAACTAATTACGAAAAAAGTTTGTAAATAAAAAATAAGTAAATTGGGTTTTTTTAAAAGCTCACGTATTTATGTTTGATTATAATTACATGTTTGGTATATGTAACGAAAAAGCTAAGTTATTGGCAAACAAAATTATGATAATTGTGTTTTTTTTTTTTTTTTTTTTTTAATTTTGTATTAATAAAGTATTTTTATATTTATTTATTTTAATTACACATTAGCTGCTACTAACTAATCATAATGTCACATTAAATGATATTATATTTAAAATATTATTTATTTTGTTTAGCTCATTAAATAAGTTTTTTTATTATAATTAGTTAATTATTTTTTATGGCATAACCAGACACATAAATTCCGTACACAATTGGTAGAATAATAATTTCAATATTTTTGTCTAATTAATAGGTCATATAAGTCAAGCTCGTGATAATTATATGGTTGTCTATATCAAGATTAATATGTAAGTTATATAGGCTATAGT